TGCTCATCCACGATCCCGCCCACCCCGCAAGACTCGAACCCACGAACTATCAGTCTTGTGGTGGTTTAGCTTCAAGTTTGATTGTAATTCCCATTCTTGTCACCTTTCCTGACACATTAAATAGAAAAATCTACCCCCCCTTTTTTACACAATTAAAATATTTAATGTCCAATTATGAGTTGATACGCTCATCAATCAAATAAAAAATAATCCAGTACACACACACACACACACCATTATCATTATTATTACTATGCGCCTAAAAGTTAATATCAATCTAAAATACCAACAACAAAAAAACAGAAAAAAAATGAAAATGCAGGAAAGCAACATTTTTTCCAACAAAAAAATTTATAACCACTTACATAAAAAAGAAGAAAAACGAAAACGATAAAAATCAACACAAACCATGAAGAAGAAGAAGAAGAAGAAGAAGAAGAACAAAACACACTAGTCAAACATCAATCTCTCATAAAAATCAAATTCATTTTTATGTGTTCAATGTTCGTGATTTTTTTTGTTTCTTTATCAATCAAATTTCTCTTTTCAGAAGTATAATTAGTTTCTAAGAAAGCTGTTCATTGAAAAGTTTATTACTAGTTATTCATATATTATTATAATACTACTACTATTATTATTATCATTATTATTACTATTACTATTATTATTATAATCAGTAGTATTACTGGTATTATTTTCATTTGTGTAAAAGAAGCTTATTCTTTCTTTTTCTTTTAGAACAATAAAATTAGAAATAATTTTACACAACTGTAAACTACCTATGATCAATTGATTAATCATTATTATTGCCATCACTACAGATGGATGGGTATGTATTTCATTATTGAAGTTATGCATTACATATTGTAAGACTATTCTAGATGTTAATTTTTTTGGAAAAAAAAACAAAAAATATAGTTTTTTTTTAATATTCTAATGAAGATTATTGAATTACGAGTAATTTCTGAGACCTATTAATGGACTAATATTATCTATATGTTCTTATGGAATAACTATTCAGTAACTAGATTGTGTATATCTATATTCCTCTTATGATAAGCTTCATTTTGATCTATAGATTATTATTATACGATTTACTGTTCTTAAGTTATGTCCAGTTTATTGATTACAGTCTCCCAAGGTTCGCAGAGATGTTTTGGCTTGATCTTGTATAAATGTTTTTCCTATTTTATGGTATGATGCAGTCAGTTTGGTTGATATATAAATCAAGTATGTTTGAAATAAATGATTCTCATAGTGAAAGCTGTTATTGGCATTCTGGACTCAACTGGATAGGCTAGTCGAACAAAGAACTAATAAAGATGCTAGGTCGATCATACCGGTTGAATGTCATTGGTTTAACACAGTACTAAGATTAAATAAGCCATATTTCAGTGGGTAAATAAATCACATGATAAGTAGTTGGGTATAAAGTCACAACAATAATGAATAATAATGATTTCATATAATGTTAAACCTATGAATGAAATGTTCATTATTGAGTATAACCATTGTCTTATTACAGAAATATTATACATAAAAAAAGTCTATTAAAGAGACGGATTTTTTTTCAAGGAATAGAAATCAGTCGAAGAGTTATTAATCAAATGTAAAGCACTGTACTGATGATGCATTGTACTTGTGAAATTCTTAGCAAAGTGAACAGCCAAAAGTTATCTATGAGACTAAGAACTGATAACTTGAAATCTTACCATAAGTAAGATTATATTCTGTTAGTAAGTAAGAATTAACTATTTTACTCCAGACTTATTCATTTCACACATATAAAAACATTAAAGATTAATCTCTAATACTCAGATGATTAATGTTATTTACTAACATGGTCTAATACTTCATGATTTCCAGTAGTTCTTTAGCTGACTGTTACTTGTTTTTTTTTTCGTTTTTTTTTGGTTGGTGAAACTTATCATCGGACTGTTACAAAACTTCCATTGAAGAAACCTGTTACGGACGTCACATACAGTAACGTAAATAAGTAACATTTTGATATTTCATCTATAAACAAGTTTTAGATTAAATAGTGTTCATTTGATATTTGTTATTTAGGTTGAAAATAAAATAGAATCATATTGAGTGACTTGATTTTAACGTTTATAAATATAAGTCAAACTGGTTGGCTGTCTATGCTCCATCACGAAGAGTAACAGGCATAAATAAGTAAGTAAATATAAGTCAAAAGAAGAATTGTTAGTACATTTTTTTCTATTTAATGGTATATTTCACTTTCAAATTAATACACTACTAAATGAAGAATAATGGTCAGTAGTCTCTATTCCACAGGCTGTCCATTTAAGAAATATTAAAAATTCCCGGCTGATGCTTTGGATCGTTGTAATATATGTACTACTTAAAAAACTACTGAACTAGTATACTTAAAACTTTCTTTTATCACATGTTTGTTCTGCACGTCTAACGTTATTACTTATATCAAATTGATCATGCCTGTAAACTGGCGTGAATTCTGTAATTATTATTTTTCGAATATAAAACTATTATTATATACTCAACTGAATATTATGTTTACACTACAAAGTCATTTATTTCTCAGATTGCATCACGAGGCAAACCCTAACTTGGAATCCTGAAGGGGAGCGGAAAAGAGGAAGGCCAAAGAACGCATTAGGTTGGAAAATAGAAGCAGATATGAAAACGATGAATAACAACTGGAAAGAGCTCGAAAGGATTGCCCAGGACAGGGTTGAATAGAAAATGCTGGTGAGAGGCCTATGCTCCATCACGAGGAGTAACAGGCGTAAGTAAGTAAATCAGTAAATCTACGTGCCTGGTAAATCTTTCAATATTTATTATTTAGAAATTGATTGATATACTACTCGTTAATGGTTGAAGCGTCAATGTACTTAAATTTAAGTATCTTTATCAATTTTTTGGATTGATTTATAATAAATAGCTTAGGAATATTCAAATTAATTTACAGTATCAGTTCAAGCAGTTAATATTGTTGGGTTGAACTGTGTAAGGAAATGAGAACATAGCCATTTAAATCTTACTCTATGATTGAAGACATTTTAGATAATATGACTCAAATTCAGTTCTATAGGGTCAGCTGACTTTGTTTCAAATTTTCAGCTTATTTTATACTGTTGATTTGATCAGTTTGTCATTTCTTTTAAGTTTATATCCTCTATTTCTAGTAGTTTTTACAGTGTCAGAATATTGGTGTCTATTTTTGTTTTTCACTTCATTCATTTCATCTCTCTGTTCTAGCATGATGTGATAAATTGAACGGATGCATATTTCTATCCAGTTTTACACTAATTATGACTGACTAATTACCATAAATAATCATATATTTCATTATATGTGAACTTGATTTTGTTTATTACTCTGAAGAAATTCAAACAAGTTTGCTGGACGAAACATTGGAATTAATTTTAAATTTAATATATAATGACTTTTCTATACTTGGCGCCAAATTATTGTCAAACTAACATGAAAACCTAGTGGGTATGATTTTCAGCAACTTCAACTATTCGACATATTGTACATTTATTGATAAAATCCGATCAGCGCTAGGGACTAAACAGACAAGATTTTGGTCTTCAATTCGTAATCAACCAACGTAAATATTTCAGTCCTATAAAATGTCATTTTTGGACCAATCAGCTTAATGACAATGTTTCAGACTGTGAATCTGGGTAACGCCAGTTTGAATCTCATAGGGAGTAACAGTTCCTCCAAGGTAGCTAGTACGCCTTACTGATAAGTGCTGACTAGTTCGAAACTTAGGTCTACAGTTTCTTATTAACTGGCTTCTGCCATACTATTATGATCTATGTTACGGTTATTACTACTATCATTGTATACAACTATTCTCAGAATTTAATTTCATACTTTGTTCTTATATACTTTGAAAGTAGCTCTCACTAAAAACTGATATGAACTGAGAAACTGTAAGTCACCTAAGATGACTCTGTTTCTATTTAACTCAGATTTGAAATCTCCGATTGTTCATTAAAGATTAGGAAAAGAATTACACCAAGAAACGTAAGACCTCAAGTCCAGTTTCATAGTGTTCATCCATCTATTGATCAAACCTAGAAATCACCGGAAAATTATCGAAAAATTACAACTATAAATCAATACCACCGACGAATAACAAACTTTCTCCAACATTGGGTTCATAATTTCTCCTTAAAAATTTCAGAAAATCAGTCTTCAATCTATACGTTATTGACATCATATCAGGATTGCAATACATCCCAAATTAACTGAGAATTCAATCAGAATGGATTTGTGGAGACTGTAGTATTTTTAACCGTTAAATTCACGAGTCGATCTAATCTAGATCACCATTGAAAGTCTGGAAGCACCGGATGGCCGTTTCGTCCTAGTATGGGACTTCTCAGCAGAGCACATCTACGATCCCGCATGTGGGATTCCAACCCGGGATCTTCATTATCGCGCGCGAACGCTTAACCTCTAGATCACTGAACCAGCAATCAAAGGTATTAATATCTGAGTCCAATCAACCCATGATCTTGAACAACCCTTCATTATTATTCTAATGAGTAGTTAGTTTCTTGTTTCCCATGAAACTTGAAGGATTTGGATTCCATTTCGTGTGAGTTAGTGATTACACATTACTGAGAAGTCTAAAATTACGTCGAAATGGCTACCTTATAGATACTTAGCATCCAATAAATCTCTAATTAATGTTAGCCAATTATAAAAATTATCAAATACTTACTTTACCCATTTAATGGTTATTCTTTCCTCTTATAAATAAACCAATCATGTATGAAGTTATTTTTTGTTGGTTTACTTTAGAAAAATATCCTGTCAACTTTCCTCATTATTCTAATCATCACCTACTACTTTTAAACAAGTGCGTTTTCTGTTTTTGTAACCCGGATATTTTTTGAATTCGATCGAGTTTATTCATTGGTTAATTATCTCATTCATTCATAAATGTTTCTATGATTTCTTTATAGAATTCCATATAAGAAGGAAAGAAATCTATGGGGAAGAAAATAGGAAAGGAAATAAGGCAGGCAGGAAAAATAGACAAAGGTAAGAGAAACAAAATGGATTCTACGTTTCTTCTGATAGAAAATAGAAACGATTCACTACATATATCTGTATTTGACATTTTGTTTACTTATCCGTTGTATTTATACATTAACACACTACTTCAGCTTCATATGGTATATAGAAACACAATTGTAATACATATATATGTATGTATATACATTTATGTCTATATATTGACAGACAACCATGTACATCTATCGATAGACCCAAGGGGATAAAGTACGAATCAAGTTGATACACTATTGTTAATTCTCATAAAGATGTATTCATCAAACAAACAAGTGGTATTTTTCAAATATGAGTTAATACTATAACGATCGAACCACGTATATTTTATATTAATTTAGATTAAAGAATAAAACTAACTCATTCATAATCGAATAACATGTTAACTATTCCACGTGAATCTAATTTGTTTAAATATACTGATGATGATTATTATCATAATCCTCATAGTAACTCTTTAATTAATTTCAATGGTAATCATCAACAACATATTATACAACATCAGAATAGTCAATCAACTCATACTTTTCTAAATGATCAACCAGATATTGAACACAAATCCATTGAAGTGATTGAACATGAATATTTAAATAAAATATCATCACTAATACAACAACTAATAAACTAAATGTTTCTGAAGATAGTCGAAATTGTTTAACTCCAATAGTATCTACCATAACATTAACTAATTTAGATCAAAATCATCAACATCATTCTGATCTTCAATCAAATCAGTCAGTAATTAAAGATATTTCCTCTATTATTACTTCATCATCTTTAGATATATCAGGATCGAATTCCACTTCATTATCATCATCATACATTGATTATAGACCTTCTAATAGTAATATTAATGAAAGACTTTTTCATACAAGTGAATTCTCAAACAATATTCATAATAATAATAATGATAATAATAATAGATATCCATTGTATAATTTACCATTTTCAATGGAATATTGTTCAAATAAACTTGTTCAACAAAATGATGAATGGAATAGAATTTTTACTTCAGAGAAAATGTTACAGAATACCACTACTATAAATGAATGTTCAAAAGTTAAACAATCAAATGATGGTAAGTAGTTAATGTTTAATATTAGCAATTTGGAAGACTCTCCCGGTCTCGCACATTGTACGAGTATTCCATGTGCCTAAATAAATGGTTGCTCTGGTTATCAGAAGGGGTATCGGCCTCGTGACTTCCGAAGGAATTCGGCTTTCATCATAAGGCGTCATAGTTCTTCTAAATGAAGAACTTCTAACTCCCAGGGCAGAGTTTAAAAGGTTTGAATAATTTTTCCTGGTTAGTGTTTTTTAGCGAGTTGGTTTTCTACGGGATGGGGTCGCTAACCCCATGCCCAACCCTCTCCCTTTGTCCGGGCTTGGGACCGGCAGTAGCCCCCAGAGGGACTCCAGGCGGAGTTAATGTTTAATATTACTTTAACTTAAAACATCTGATAATCACTTGAACGGAACTAATTAAATGGACAGATAAATTAGTTTCCATGGCTTTTGAATTAACATTATCAGCTTATGTAATTGATCTCTCATTACTGAATCATAAGAGTTAATATCATCGAAGATAATATTGTTTAAATAACACTAACATAGTACTCTGAGTTATTGTCTTCAAGTCATTAACAATATCTTCTGTATGTTATTAAGTATCAGTTATTAACATTATTAGATAGTTGAATCTAGTCAGGAGAAAACCGTAAAGCTATATCACCTTCTAATTAATACTGTCATTAATCAGTGGTAATGTGTATTTGTAATCTTCAAGAAACTACTGTTCCTCAGAGACCTATATCATTTAATATTATAGTTAGATAATGTGAACATTGAACCATTTGATCTTTTCCTTAATTTTATATCAGGGAAGTTAAATCAACCTCATAATTACAGTGACTAGCATAGTGTCTAGATCAAGAGATTACACCTTATTGTCTTAATTCATTAAATATAGAACGTAACTTATGACATGACGTAATGCATGATTCTTTTCATATCTATAAATCGAATTAGTCAAGGAAAATTTTAGGTGTTTAAGCTGAATAACATAAAATTATAGATAGTCAATCATATGTATTCTCAATACGATAGAAATATTTCGGTAAATAACATCACAGTATAAAACGAACAGTTTTGTGTATCTTTGGTGAACTTGAATCGATAAAGAAATGGAAGAAATAGAAACACCAAACTCTGTCCTAAACAATCCTTTCTAGTTCTTTCCAGTTTTATTCATCCTTTTCATATCTGTTTCTAATTCTCGACGCAATGTGTTCTTTGGCCTTCCTCCTTTCCGTTTCCCTTCAGGATTCCAAGTTAGGGCTTGCCTCGTTATACAGTTTTGTGATTTCCTCAATGTATGTCCTATCCACTTCCAATGTCTTTTCTTAATTTCTTCTTTATTTGGAAGTTGGTTTATCTTCTTCTACAGAAGACTGTCACTGATGATATCAAGCCAACGGACATTGAGTATCTTGTGCAGGTAGCTATTTATAAATACTTGTGTTACTGTCAAATTAACTGATAATTTCACATATTTGTGCAACAAAATGAATTAATCTTTCCATTTTAAAGTTTCTCATTAGTTTGAGGAAGTAGATTAACAGAGTAAGAAACATAAGATGGGCATATTTTAATGAATAAAGTAAAACAGTGAAATATGAAAATTGACGTTTATGTTGAGATATTTATGTATGGATAATCTAACAATCTAAGTAAGCCAAATGGAATTATAATTATAATTATCATACTAATAATATTCGCATTTAATAATCTTCTTCAAAAACCTAAATTCAATGAACATTTAACTTCTCTTATTTTACAACTCATCAGTAGACAACTTCTATTTTACAAAACTCCACTGGAAGTAAGGACTAGTTTCTGTTGTATGAACAGATGTTTAGCTTAATGAGTCTTTCACTTATCATCTTGTAACTAGTTAAATAATATAAAATGTTGGAAAATGACAAGAAATGTTATTAGATAGACAATAGATTCAAGATATGGAAGGTCGTTACAGTTTATTAGTTCTATTTTCAACACAATCTTAACACAATATCAGAATACTTTACAATTTCTAATAGAATCTATTGTTCAGTTGATAATATTTACCTCTGTTTTATGAAACTATACAACTGTTTAGTTAGATTGTTATTACCTCATTCTGCTGTTTTCTTTTTTTCTTTTTCTCTCTTCCTCATAACAGTATTAACCACAATAAATTCCGTATATGATGATCAAGCACTTTATAGACAATCTTCATTAATAAATCATCAACCCCATGTTCAATGTATCAATGATTATCAGAATTCAGTGTCAAAAACAAATGAGTTTAACACAAGGCATTCAAATTCAGATCAACAAAATAACTCTTATAGTAATTACTATCTCCACAATCAGAATAATGATATTATTGATCACAATAGTAATAATAATAATAATAATAATAATAATAATGAGTTGGATAAGAAAGAAGTACAAATCATGAAGAATAAAAAATCCGATTTCATTTTAATACGTCAGCGTAATCGACGTAAACCGCGTATTTTATTTTCACAAACACAAATTTACGAATTAGAACGTCGATTTAAACAACAACGTTATTTATCCGCTCAAGAACGTGAACAAATGGCAAATAATTTGAAAATGTCAGCACAACAAGTAAGATTTCTTTTGATTCTTTTAGTATTTTCTTACTTATTCACTTGATTATTTTCTGCATTTTTTTTATAGTTAGAAGCCAGAACTTATTTAACTAGTCGCTTTCTTAGTTTTCATCACAAAGTAAACTTAGTTTGATAACCATTTTTTAAATCTAAATGAATAGCCATGTTTTCTTATGTAAAAATGAAAATTTAATATTCTAGAATAGATCATGACTCAATAGCTAAGTGGGTAACGCGATGGCATTTAAAGTGGATGGTACTGGGTTAGAGTCCCGGAGTCAAAATCAACTCTGGGATGCAGGTACATCCAGCTGATGAGTCCTAAATAGGAAGAAACGCGCGTCTTGGATTCCACTGTTAGACACTATCCATCTTTCCTTGAAAAGCTTGTGACTTAAGACAATATCGAAGCAGTTCGCACAGGATGCACATATGCCAGCAAGAGACTGGTCAATTGCAGTCCTGAACAACAACGGGAAGATACAAGCGAACAACACCACGTGAATTTAGAATATGATCATCTTTTTTTCCAATCAACTCATAAATAGTTTCAATAAATTTCCTATTTTCTTCAGAAAAAAATAAACCAAATTCTCGGCTTAAATCACGCATATCCAAAGCATTTTGTGTAGGATAACTTTTTGACATTATTAGATGTCCTGTGAAGAGTGGGATGGAAATGGTCACTTGAGAGTTAAATAATACAATATCAGTTTCCAGGTTTGAACCTTCTGATGCATTTAATATGACCCGGGAAATTATTCACAATTACAACACTGTGTCACATGATGTTGAATACATGTTCTGTGTATTTAGCCAATGAGTTATGAGTTAAAAAAGTGTGACAAAATCCAAGTAGATTTATTCTCAAAGCCTTAACTTCTAGTTGAAATAATACAGAAAGCGTAGGAAGTTGTAAAACCATCGATCTGTTAGCAAAGCTTTAATAAAAACAGTTTTTAAAATCATACTTAATCGCATAAACTAATTAGAATAATTAACGAATATCATTTAGGGAACTCCGCTTGGAACTGTTTTAGGGTTATTGCCAGTCTCAAGCCTGAGGAAAGAAGTAGGGTTGTGCATGGGGTTAGCAACTCCATCCCGTTAAAAATGGCATTACTAAAAAAACGCTAACCATCACCTAGAAAATCTTAATACAAGTTCCAAATCGATGGAAACTTATAATCTAGGGCTAAATTAATTCAGAATGATGAATGATCACGAGATAAAGAGGATCCTATAAAGTTTCAGATATTTACCTAGTTGATATAAAAAATTATAACATTGAGGAGTAGAGTACTTTTATAGATTGGTTTTACTAATTTTTTTTCATATAAAAACAATATTTCTGTTAACGGATCTAGCTGGTTGAAGCCAATCATGATCAGTAGTCACTAAGATGTGTGTCTCCAAGTCGGTCAGTGGTTCAGATGGATTCAATCTTTATCTCCTTTTACATCTTGAGTTCAAATGTTTCTTCACAATATGTCTTTCCATTCTTTCTTCTTGAACAGTGTTTTCAGTACTTAGTTTTCCTGTCTATCATTATTACTACATTTATTTTGATTTCTCTACTACTCTCATGTTCATTTCATCTCTCTATACTCATATAGTATGACAACTTTAGTCTATGAGTATTTATTCCAGGACCTTCTTCGATCATTATAAACGAATGCTCTTTTCATGTAAATAATAGATCATAGAAGTAAAGATACGTCAAATGAGTTACAACTGCATGTCCCTTCAATCATTCATGAACTAAATATGAATCTGTCAAGTTTTTTCCTTTAAATGTAACCCATAAGAAGTGTTTTACATTTAATGGTTAATTATTAAACCTATGTATATATGTTTTGTAGTATCAAAGAACTTGTTATACGGATGTAAGATCGTGGTTGGAGGTACCCGGGATTCACTCTGACAGGGAGAATCATCCCTTTCAAGATTACGTGCACACCTCGTTGACGAGTGCCAAACAACACGAGACTTAAGTCTAGGGTTTCCTGTTGACTACCTCTAAACACCACCTCACATCTAAAGTCACCTAGACTATTAGCCACATTGTAACACGATCGATAGAGTTCGATTAGTACTAAGAAGGACTGGACATACATGACAGTAGTCACCAGTCAGTAATCAATCAATAGTTGTATGAATATTTTTGTGCATCAGTATGCTGTATTTCTTGATCGTCTCTCACAGAGATCAGAATTCAGTACACATTAACTGTTAATGTAGATTGTTTTGTTGTGGTTTTATTACTTTTAGACAGTAAATTTCAGCTATGTTAGAAATGAAACAAGTATCACAGAGAGTAGTAGATGTTCATTATGCTTTATTCGGATGTGTCTCAAGTTATCGATTTGAACTGTTGGATTTTGATTTCCTTTCCAAATATATCTTAAAGCTTAAGTTTGATCAAAATCAGGTTCAGTATTAAATGATTTTGTGGACAAGCACAATTGAAGAATCCTAAGCCGAGATAATAAAAAAAACAGTTGCTTTTCAATCATTTTTCAGTCAAATGTCAATCGATTCATGAAAGCCAACTTGAAGTTGATCAATCTTTATAACTTTCTTACATTCAACACTTTCTTGATAAAACAATTTCTGAATATACTAACTACTGATGAAGATTATAAAAGTTTATTCTTTATTGACATTTATCAGTCATGACCCATTAGAAATAGTTTATGATCAACATATTTCAAAAATTGCATCATGACAATAATACAAACGATAATAACAGTTGTTTTGTATGTGATCAGTTTTTTTCTTTTCCTTAGCACTTGACCTAATAATTGAACCTAACTTAGTAAAACTGAAACTTAATGTAAGTAGTGTGATTGATCATGCTGTTTGTGTGTATGTGTGTGTGTGTGTAAATAACCCTAGACAGATAGGTTTATAATTAAGGTTTTTATATTACACAGTCTATTGCTGTGTAATCCGGCTTAGTTATTTTTATGTCTATACAATTCTTGTTGATCCAGTTCTTTGTTGACCCAGTTCATTATTTGCGATTATAATAGTAAAATTGTTTTCAGTTTATTAATTCATACATTTATTATTTAATTAAAAGACATACATAAGATATACATAATAGGTCTCTATCCCCCCCCTCTATTGTACAATTTTCACTAATATTAATATGATTAAGGCAATACATACTACATACATACATACATACTACACACACACACACGTAGTTGAATATTCAGATGAAGTGTGCTTCTGTGGAACATAATAAATTGAAAGAAGTATAATACAAGTTGATCATGTCACAACGATTAAAACAGCTGCTGCATTAAAATGATTCTGTTAAAAAGAAACTTGTTCTAATGACGTAATTAAGTAATTTTATGCACAAAATATATATGTCCATGTCATTAAAAATGCAAACTTGTCATGTAATGTAATGTCTTGTAAATCTAATCGAGGATTCAAGGATTCATTTAGTGTTCTATTCAAACATTCAATTTTTTTCTTTTTTAAAAATGAGTTCCAATGAAATATGATGATAATTTATTGACTAAATTAAAATGGTCTACAATTTATTACTTTTCTACAAAATAGCCTGATATATTAGCTTGTATTATGATAGATTCATTGAAAGGTATTCTGTGAATAGATCTAAATACAAAATAATGTCTGACCCCAATATCTTTAAGTTTTATAGTAGTAAACACAATACAGCAGTTATAGTCACTATAAGATAATAAATGTTGATTTAATGCTTTAATTTGTCACTAAGTTGATTATATCCGCAAAATTTTTAATCAGAGAGGGGTTTTGTGAATATGATAACATTTTAATAGTTGAATTCATGAGTCAGTTGAAGCTAGACCACCATAGAAAACCTAGAAGCACTGAACATCCTAGTATGGGACTCCTCAGTAGTGTGCATGATGGACGGTGGCGCAATTTCGTGGATTGATTAAAGTTAGACATTAATACTGTTTGATGCCAGCTCAGTGGTCTAGTGGTTAAGCGCTCACGGACGAGAATGATAGGTCCAGGGTTCGAACATCACGAGGCAGGAACGCGCATGCTGAAGAGTCCCAAGCTAGAACGAAACGGCCGTCCAGTGCTTTCAAGTTTTCCATGATGGTCTAGCTTCAATTGACTCATGAATTCAATTATTACAATGTTTAATGTTCACTGAGTATATTGTATACAAAGAGGGAATGTTATGAATTATAGTATTGTAGTGGACAGAACACGGGTGGGACAATCGAATGTATTTAACACAAAATTACAGGACTTGTAAATAAAATCTAACAATCCTAAAGTAAATGCTTAATTTGCAAAATGTCCATCAATTGTCTCAAAATGACTCAGACTTCATTGTTCTCGCATTTTCATACAAATCGCATTCTGTTTCCATTCTTTACTGTTCGGTTCTCTTGTCTCTCTGCTGTCAGACCTTCTGTTCATATACTACTTATTTCGATATAAGTAGCACACACCACAGTATGACTTCCACTAAACTGTTCGCTTCAAGCTCTCGATTTCATCCTATATATCAGGTTATACTATATTGGATATTTCCAGAAAACCCTAATTGTTTCACTGATATTCAATCATGATTTATTCTAAAGTTATTTGATATAAAAATAAATGTAAATGATGTTAGAAATACAAACTACAAAAATCAGTTTCATAATGTGAACATTTACATCTACAACTGTGTTCTTTTTTCTTGTTTTGTTTGTTACTCTGTAATGCATCATGCATACTTTGATCAAACTGAATATCTAAAATACACTACTCTATATGGTTGAGTTTGAAAAAAAAAAGATCAATTAATAGAAAAAAAAATGGTTAGTTTATACTCATATGAATGATTGAATACAGATTTGAACACTTTGAAAATGATTTTTGTCGGAGACTAAAGTCAATTAGTAAACTACTATACAAATATACCAATGGGTTGTATTAAAATGTTGAAAGTAGTCGGTGTGTGGTGTGGGTTACTTATATCCACATAAG